GGACCTCTCCATCGTCCTGCATCACCCACCAGGTCCACCCAGGTCCTTGGGCAAAAGCAATCCCGTGGATGGGTTTGTCTTTACCTTTGCCTGGCGCAGGACTAAACCAGACCATTTTTCCCAATATATTCCTCATGCGCACCACAGGGACTTTATCCCCATCTACAGCACGTGGAGGTTTCAACTGAGCCGGGCCAGCTCGACTGGCAGATCTTGTGTTGACTAGCCAGGTGGCCTTTGCTAGATGCATGTCCCAGTCTTTGAAGGTGCCACCTCCCAGTGCTTTCAATGTGGTTTTTAACAGTCCATTGTAGCGCTCGATCTTCCCAGAGGCTGGTGCGTGGTAGGGGATATGGTAGACCCACTCGCTGCCGTGTTCTTCTGCCCAGGCATTTATGAGGTTGTTTCAGAAGTGGGTCCCATTGTCTGACTCAATTCTCTCTGGGGTTCCGTGTCGCCACAGGACTTGGGTTTCAAGGCCCAGGATGGTGTTTCGGGTGGTGGCGTGGGGTGCTGGGTAAGCTTCCAGCCATCCAGTGGTTACTTCCACCATTGTGAGCACGTGGCGCTTCCTGTGGCGGGTGTGTGGCAGTGTGATGTAGTCGATCTGCCAGGCCTCTCCATAGCTCTATTTCAGCCATCGCTCTCCATTTCACTGGGGCTTCACCCGCTTGGCATGTTTGATTGCAGCACACATCTCACATCCGTGGATGATCTCTGCAATGGTGTCAATGGTGAGGTCCACCCCTCGATCTCGAGCCCACCTGTATGTTGCATCTTTACCTCGGTGGCCTGAGGTCTCGTGGGCCCACCGGGCTATGAACAGTTCACCTTTGCGCTGCCAGTCCAAGTCCACCTGAGCCACTCTGATCTTAGCAGCTTGGTCTGCCTGCTGGTTGTGTCGATGTTCATCAGTGGCCTGACTCTTGGGTACATGGACATCCCCATGGCGCACCTTCACAGCAAGGTTTTCCACACGGGCTGCAATGTCCTGCCACACCTCAGCAGCCCAGACGGTTTAACCCTTACGTTGCCAGTTGTTCTGCTTCCATTGCTGCAGCCATTTCCACAGGGTATTCGCCAGTGCCCATGTGTGGGTGTAGAGGTAGAGCCTTGGCCACTTTTCCCGCTCAGCAATATCCAAAGCAAGCTGAACGGCTTTCACCTCTGTGAACTGGCTCGATTCACCCTGTCCCTCAGCAGCTTCAGTGACCCGTTGTGTGGGACTCCACACAGCAGCCTTCCACCGTTGATGTTTTCCCACAATGCGACAAGACCCATCAGTGCACAGGGCATATCGCTTCTTCTCATCCGGCAGCTCGTTATATGGTGGGGCCTCCTTAGCACATGTCACCTCCTGTTCTGGTGACATCCCGGAATCTTTCCGGCCAGTTCGTGATCACCTCTAGTATCCCTGCCCAACTCATACTGGCAGTGGCTGTGTCCGGCTCAGCTGCTGTGCTGGTGGAGGTGACTGATACTGGCTCTGCCTGTCCCCCCAGCCCAGCTGCTGTACCAGTAAGCTCATTCTCAGATCCTGCAGGCCTTTCTCCCCCTTGAGGGTAGTGAGTGCTACTAAAGAGGGCACAGTAGGCATGGGCAAGTCCCCAACACATTGCAGCGATTTGTGTCTCCTGGGTTTTGCCTGCTTGGCAACACACCCTTTCTAAGCACTGAATCGTCTTGTCAGGTCTCTGCATTTGTTTGGGAGTGAAATTCCAAAGCATTGGAGGTGTCCACCTTTGCCCATCTTTTCCCACAGCCCTTGCCCCTCACTATTATCTGACCTCGGGGCAGGTTTCCGGGCACTGCTGTTGTTAGAGAAGTGCCGCATGGCCAAAACCAAAATCAGGCAGGCTTTCAGAAAGCATTGTGCCACAAGCACACTGGCCTGCAGGCCCCATGAATTGAAACTCTGAAAAACCGAGAGGATCTCTTCCCCTGGCTCACCCATAGAGGGGGTGAGACCCCTAACAAAAGCCCAGGCAGCAAACAGGTACCTGCCAGCTCCCCCACACAGAGAGATACAAACACATTATAAGCAGTCAGGATCCAGTGTAGCAAAAGAGACCCTTCACACATTTTCCACCGATAACAAACACCAGCACTGGGATCGTATACTGGATATAAGGATTAATCCAGCCCAACCACGCAAGCAAGTGGGCCAGCATTGCAAACATTCTCTTATCAAACAGTAGAAATGGAAAAAAAATTGCACGAACAGATTGCTCTAACAAACTTTGTTCAGGGTTTATCCCTTTTTGAACCTTATTTCAACCCTCTTGTGCCCCACATTGGTGTGCCAAAAAGGCTGTGTTGGTTTAAGCTCTGCTGGGACCGGAGACCACATTGCCATTGTCCCTCCCCCACCCTTAGACACAAGCAAGGCACAAACCCGAGGTTAAAATAAGAAGAAAATTAATACAACAGTGTAATAATAAACAATCTGAACAACTCTCCCTGCTGGGGAAACTTAACCCTATCCTAGCTGAACCAGGACACATTCTAAACATATTTGAACGATTGAGATTACTAGCCTGTAAGAATTAAAATTCATTGGCTTTTTTTGAGAACAACACCTACATCAAAGAAGTATGTGGTAGAAGCTGATGGGATTAAACTATTCAAAGTATTGCATATGCCTCTTTAGTGCACACTGAAACAGAATCAAAAAGTATGGCATGATAAAGCAAATTTGAGCAGAACAGAAATGGAGATTTTTTTTACTTGACATTGGTATATAGTTGCTGTTTCATGAGGCCGAGTTATAAAGAACACTTTTTGAAATTAATGTAACAAAATGTTTATTCAGTTTGATAATAATAAGTGGGTCTTCTCATTTGCAGGGTATAATTACAGTAACATTTGAAGTTCCAGGAAATATAAAAGAAGAAAACTTAAATATTTTTATTCAGGTAAGTGATACATCACTGTCAACTGAAAAATCAGTGTGGCTTTTTATAGAAAGTCATCCTATGCCATTCTGTTCATGAAAACATTTTTCCTTTTCGTAGAATCTTCTGTGGGAGAAGAATGTGAAAGATAAAACTGGGTGCACCATGGATGTCATAAGACTGAAGGTTAGTCAGAAATTGCCAACTTCTTTGTTTTGTGCTTTTTCTCTTTTACACCTGGAAAACTGTAGTGTGCTGTTAGTTACAGATCTATCAAAGGTGCTACTGGACCACTGGCAGAGCAGACAAAATGGAGAATAGCAATTTGTTGTTGTTCTGTGCAGAGACAGTTTGTTCTCTGCTGTCTGGTGGAACAACTCAAAAGGAGATAGCTGAGAGAGAAGCAAACATTGTTCCTCTTGTTTTGAATTGGGAGAGAAGATGTACAGTCCCAAACATCAGTGGCAGAGTTAATAATCAGGACATAGTTAAATCACTTTTTAATTTTTTATCTCCATTGCTTTGAGGTTCCATCCATCTCACGTAAAGGTCTCCTTATCTAGGGATTAGGTACCATAGATTGCTATCTAATTATAATTGAGTTGAATTTGACATAACATATCAGTGCAGTACTAGTTGCGGTCTATGCTTACAACTTTTTACAGTATTGTCAGGCTGCAGTTTTAAAGATGCAGCCCATGAATATTCATCTTCATGGGTACTTCATATGTTTTTTCAGTTGCATGGTTTTGAGAGGAGTGTGACAATTTAGGATATATTTTCCTTATACCAAGCAGCCAAGTAAATCATTAAAAAATGAGAATCAAGCCTGTCATTTGGTAGGCTGTAAGAAATACAAGAAAATATGTTCTGGTTTGTTTTCTGAGAACACTTGTGCATCATGGATAGCGACATAACTATTTTCACTTCATTGGAAGAAAGATTGTGTTCTTGCTCTTTCAGTAAGAAAACAAGAATGTCCTTGTCTTCACCTTCTTGACCAATAGAAGAAAATAGCCACTGATGCAGCTTAAGCTGTCTGAAGACAGTACGGCTATGCACAAGTACATTTCTGTTATATTAAGCTTAGGAATCAGATCAGTTCTTTAGGAGATCTGAGGACTGTGATAAGCTGTGTGCTGGCCCTCAGTCACAAATACACCAAAGCAAATGAACCCCAGGTAATTATAGGATGAGTTCCAAAGTTTTTTGCTTTTATATTTTACCTTCAGCCATGATCCTTTTGTCAGTAATAATCATAGAATACCAACTAATATGTCAGATGCAGACTTTTTTTCATGAAATATTTTCCACTTTTTTTTTTCTGTAGGAAAGTATACGACATTTTACAGAATATGTTCTACTAAAATATTTTATAAAGGTTTACATGAAATGATTAAAACTTTTAATATAGATTTTGGTATGTGGGTTTATGGGCTTACTCTGATAGTAATCCTTTCTAATTCTATTGTTAGTCATTTTACTTCACAGCATTTGCTCATTCTCCAATATTCAGAGATTCTGTTTCAGAATAGTGAATATACTGAGCATAAGAGTTTAATAAGAATAATCTGAAGTTAAACAGTTTTGCTCATTTTATGAGTCTTTCACGGACTCTATGTCATACACCATATATCTATTCAAAGTAGCATAGTAGCTGATGACATTTTATTTTTGTTTGAACATGCTAGATGCTGACCAAATGAGGAACAGAAGGTAGAAGGCAAAGTGTAGTTATTAGTCTTTAACAAAATAAGGACATGTGAGAATGGATGTTAGTAGAAATTATCATAATGCATGGTTATTTTGACTAACTGGTTTATAGTTGCCAGAACTATTTTTCCCTACTTGGCCTCATTTCAGAGTTTTTCCCCCTCTTATATATTTCATTTTTAGAAGTTTGTTTATATATCCTAACAGTTATTTTTCTGATAAGGGACTGGTATCTATTCAAGGCAAATCTCATCAGGTGATAGTCCAAGGTGTCCATGAGCTCTATGATCTGGAAGAGACTGCAGTAGCCTGGAAAGAAAATGAAAAGAGGACAAATAGACTGGTCCTAATAGGTAAGAGGAAATTACATATCTCCTAGTTTGACTTTAAGAAGCTGTTCTTTCAGCAGAAAATCCTGTGACTTGTCCAGTGAGAAGCAACCAGCCTAAACTGGACAGAGTAACAGTGTGTTCAGCATAACCTTCAGTCAAATGTTTATCCATCAAGACCTCCTGCAATTTTATATTCTAGCTGAGAGGAATCAACACTATCTTATTTAGGGACTTCAATATAAAATAAAATACTAAGTATTCATAAACTATGTTGGTCTATTTAATTTTATTTTAAAAATCCATAATTATAAATATTGTGATGGCAGTGGTCTGAATGTTTGATCAAATATTCAGTAACTGTATGGAAGGTGATTATAGCCATAAAAATGTGTAAAATCTGTTTTGTTTCTGAAAAGCTTGTAATGCTGAGGTTGTACATTTCTGCTTTGCAAAGTGTTTTTATGGCCAGAAACCCCCAATTTTTCTTCCTTTCCCTTACTTCTGCAGCTTGAAGTCTGTCTGTTTTTGCCTGTAAAATATCAAGTTGTCTTGTTACCTGCAGCTTAATTTTAATACTGCTGTTTTCACTCATTGGTATAATATTAATTTTCTTTGCTAAGAGAACTGGCAGGTTGCTACTTGCATGCATTTTATGTAATACACGGTAAAATATAGTTAGCTAATTTCTCTTTACAGGCAGGAACCTGGATAAGGAGACCATCAAAGAAGTATTCATAGCAACTGTGAGAGAGAAACAAGGAAACAGTTGACATGAAACTAGAAAAAAGATGAAATGTATATGCTTAACTCTGTAAGCTTTTTATGACAGAAAAGATTGAATGATATTCAGTATAGTAGTTTATTTTTTATCTTGCAGTTTACACAATTAAACTACAGAATCATATAATCACATAATAGTTTGGGTTGGAAGGGGTCTTAAAGATCATCTAGTTCCAACACGGCTGCCATAGGCAGGGACACTTTCCACTAGACCAGGTTGCTCAGAGCCCCGTCCAACCTGGCCTTGAACACTGCCAGGGAGGGGGCAGCCACAGCTTCTCTGGGCGGCCTGTTCCAGTCTCTAACTACCCTCACAGGAAGGAATTTCTTCCTTACATCTAACTTAAATCTACCCTCTTTCAGTTTAAAACCATTACTCCTCATCCTGTCACTACACTCCTTGATAAAGAGTCTCTCCCCATCTTTCCTGCCCACCCCCTTTAAGTCCTGGAAGGCTGCTATAAGGTCCCCCTGGAGCCTTCTCTAGGCTGAACAACCCCAACTCTCACAGTCTGCCCTCACAGCCCCCTGATCATCTTCGTGGCCTCCTCTGGACCCACTTGAGCAGGTCCATGTCCTTCTTATGTTGGGGGCCCCAGAGCTGAACACAGTACTGCAGGTGGGGTCTCATGAGAGTGGAGCAGAGGGGGAGAATCAGCTCCCTTGACCTGCTGGCCACACGTCTCGATGCAGCCCAGGATACGGTTGGCTTTCTGGTCTGTATTGTTGGCTTGTAGTCATTTTTCCATCCACTGATGCCCCTCAAGTCCTTCTCTGCAGGGCTGCTCTCAATCCACTTATCATTGCCCAGCTGGTGTTTGTGCTTGGGATTGCCCTGACCCATGTGCAGGACCTTGCCTTTGGCTTTGTTGAACTTCATGAGGTTCTTAGAGGCCCACCTCTCAAGACTGTCAGCGTCCCTCTGGATACCATCCCTTCCCTCTAGTGTGTCAACCACACCACACAGGTTGGTGTTGTTGGCAGATTTGCTGAAGGTGCACTCAATGTCACTGTCCATGTCACCAACACTGACCCCTGAGGAACGGCACTTGCCACTCCTCTCCAGCCAGACATCGAGCCTTTCACCACAACTCTTTGAGTGCGACCATCTGGCCAATTCCTTATCCACTGAGTAGTCCATCCATCCAATTTAGAGACAAGGATGTCATGTGGGACAGTGTCAGAGGCTTTGCACAAGTCCAGGTAGATGACATCTTCACTTATCCACCAATGCTGTAACCCCATCATAGAAGGCCACCCAATTTGTCAGACATGATTTGCCCATAGTGAAGCCATGCTGGCTGTCACCAATCACCTCCTTATTCCCTATGTGCCCTAGCATAATTTCCAGGAGGATCTACTCCATGATCTTAGCAGATACAGACGTGAGACTGACTGGCCTGTAGCTCCCTGGGCCTTCCTTTTTCCCCTTTTTAAAAATGGGGGTTATGTTTCCTCTTTTCCAGTCAGAGGGAAGTTGCCAGACTGCCACAGCTTCTTGAATACAATGGATAGTGGCTTCATCCATCCATTCCCTCAGGACCTGTGAATGCATCTCATCAGGTCCCATGGAATTGTTCACCTTCAGGTTCTTTACATGGTCTTGAACCTGATCTCCTTCAGTGTGTGGTTCTTCATTCTCCCAGACTCTGCCTTCTGTGTCTTGGGTGGTGTGGCTGGAGCCCTTGTTGGTGAAGACTGAGGAAAAAAAGTTGTTGGGTACCTCAGCCTTCTCCATGTCCTGGGCAACCAAGTCTCCTCTTTGTTTCTGGAAAGGGCCCACATTTTCCATTGTCTTCCTTTTATCACTGTTAGACCTATAGAAGCTTTTTTTTGTTGCCCTTTACATCCCTGGCCAGATTGAATTCTGTCAGGGTTTTCACCTTTCTAACCTGATCCTTGGCAGCTACAGTCTCTGTATTTGTTCCAGGCTATCTGTCTTTGCTTCCACCCTCTGTATACTTCCTTCTCATGTTTAAGCTTGTCCAGGAGCTCCTTGTTCATCCCTGCAGGCCTCCTTGGTTTTTTTACCTGACTTCCTCTTTGTCAGGATGCATCACTCCTGAGCTGGGAGGATTTGATCCTTGAATATTAACCAGCTTTCTTGGGCTGATTTTCCCTCCAGGGCTTTATCCCATGCTACTCTGCCTAGCAGATCCCTGAAGAGGCGAACAACTGCTTTCCTTGAAGTCCAGGATCATGAGCTTGCTGTGCACCTCACTGCACTATGGATCCTGAACTCCACCATTTCATGGTCACTGTAGCCAAGGCTGCCCTTGAGCTTCACATTACTCACCAGTCCCTCCTTGTTGGTGAGAACAAGGTCCAGCGTAGCACCTCTCCTAGCTGGCTCCTCTATGACTTGGAGAAGGAAGTTATCATCAGTGCATTCCAGGAGCCTCCTGGATTCCTTATGCCCTACTGTGCTGTCCCTCCAACAGATATTGGGGTGGTTGAAGTCCCCCATGAAGCTGCTCCTATCTAAGAGGGCCTCATCTGCTCAATCTTCCTGGTGGGGTGGCCTGTAGCAGTCCCCCACTATAACATCTGTCCCTGACCTCCCTTTAATATTGATCCACAAGCTCTCAGTTGGCTCCTCATCCATTCCCAGGCAGGGCTCCATGCACTCTAGCTGGTCACTGACATAGAGGGTGACATACCCTCCTCATTTCCCCACCTGTCCTTCTTAAGGAGCCTGTATCCTTCCATTCCAACACTCGTCATAGGATCCATCCCATCATGTCCCCATGATGCCAATAAAGTTCATAGTCCTGCAGGTGTGTGCACATCTCTAGCTCCTCTTGTTTATTCCCCATGCTATATGAATTTCCGTAGAGGCATTTAAGTTGGGCCCCCTGTTAAGCTGACTTACTGGCTGGAATTCCTTTGTGCTACTCTCCGGGTGCTCTCACTGACCTGTGATCCCTTTCCAGGATCTGAGCCTCTATTGGCAGTAGTATCAAGCTGGTAGGAGTTGAGGTTTCCCTCCCCTGGCAACTAGTTGAAACCCTGAAGGATCCCTAAGAATCTGACCTACTGCTCAAAGATTAGCTCTTATGGTCTAGAATCAAACACAAAGAATCCATTATTTTGGATTTGGCTTAAGTTATGTTAGTAAAATCATGCACCTGTGCAGAAATACAGATAGGCAAAAGACTTGCTTATGCTGTACATGAAATATTACAGTAAAAATATGGTAAACACGTTTGAAGGCTAGTGCTTTCTCCATCTAGCTCTCTTTTACTATTGAAAATGAAGCAACAGTGATTACTGTCAGTGATGTAATCACAGTAAAATATATTTAGTATTTATTATTAAACTGTCTTCCATCTCTTTTCACTTGTTTTCTGATTTCTGAATGTATACATCCATCCCAGGTACCACTAAACCTATTGTATAAATGAAACTAAACATACATTTATAGCAGAGGCTGAAGACCCCATGGAATATATGCTATCTGCATAACAGCTATGAATGCAGTGTTAGTCACATAGCCAAAGTGTTGAAAGCTGACCTCATAGATCTAGGCCATGACCCTGCCAGTTCAGGATCTGAGGGATCAGAGGAAGCACATTTTCACTATATTGTCTAGGATGCCCTGCATGATTTGTTATGGGGTTCTCTGACACTGCTTTTGGCTGATGTTTTGAAATCTTAGTTTGAAGATTTCATCTCTGTTCTCATTACTTTTATATTAGAGTTGAACTTCTTGCCCTGTACCTTCTCTGGTAGTCATCGTTCACCACTTAGGTTTAGTGGGATATGTTGGCTACAGCTGGGTGAATGTGAAATGAGTGAATGCAAGAAGATAAAGTGCAATTAAATATGTTTCAAAACATAATTCTAGGACATGCATTAGATATTCTGAAGAATGGACTCTTCGCTACAGTGCTACATAGATGCTTGCTGATACGTCGGGATAAGTAGAAATGTGTTTTCAGTACTAGCGGTGTGTTACTTGTCATGTACCTAACATTTGCTTTACAATAAAAGGTTCATCAAACTGAAAAAAAAAAAAAAGAAAAAAGAAAGAACTGAGGCCATTCCCTTATCAGCAGTCTTAACAAATTCATTTTTGCTTCTACTGAAATAAATGAGTTTGGAGTTTGTTTCCAAAGAGCTGAGGAAGGAGACATTGTTTATCTTTCATTGCCAGGAGCTGGTGTCTTGTTTGATTAATATGTGAAGTCATATGTCCAATAAGATAGAGCTCTTCAGTCTCCCAGTACATACATGAGCAGACATTACTTCATTCCTCACATTTTAAGTGGTTTTAGATAGCTTGAAGAAATTGCCAGAATTTTATCTATTTCTGTAAACTAAAGCAAAGTAAAAATACTGCTTTCTGTTTAGTGCAGCATTGGTGGCATTTGAGGGAGATGGGTTTATTGTTGAGTGACGCTGTGGTGGTTTCCCTTAGCGATTGCATCTCTTAATTTTGAAAACTCATACATATTCTTACATGGATACATGTTTTGGATTGCATAAATGACACTTGTTCCTTTAGAAAAATTAGTCAAATGATTGCCATCAGTGGGTTACAAACTGAGTTGTAAATGTCATGTAAACGCAAAATTATGGGTAATACATTTGTATTTGTTGCTGTTTATGCTTCAGTTGGTTGTAGAGAAAGAGATCAAATACGTCTCTCTTATAAATACCACATGTAATTGAAGAACTCAGTCATCTTTAGAAACATTAATCTGATGTACCCAACCTGTTGGGATTCAAGAGGACTTTCTGCGAGAGAATGGCCATGTGAGCAATCCTGTGTGAGAACAAGACTGGTCAGAGCCTCAGCCTGAGCAAGAATGCGATAACGATGTGACCCTGAATGGGGGGGAGAAACGACGAGACAAACAACCCCCAGAAGGGGTTGGGGTTGAAAAGGAAGTTAGACGAGGCAGGAAGCCTGGCACGGCTGATGTGGCACTTTTTATCCCATTGTAAGAATGTATAAAACGCGGGCTAAGTGAACTGTCCAATCTTGATGACTTGTT